ACTTTGCGTTACCGTACGACGCTGTGATACTTGGAACAATACACCCCCCCGCAAACTTGTACTTCCATTTTTCCGCTCGCACGTGTAAAAACGCTCTCTCGCACCCTGTGAGTCACCGACTCTGCCCTCTGTGGTCATTATGTGCGCGAGAACCTTCGCAAAAACCTTGTGTCTCGCGACTGCACATTCTTCGGTTTTCTCTGGTGGAGACGGGAGGGGGTGGAGGAGGGGAAGGTGGAAAGATTTTTCTAATTTCTCGTAGTTTGTTTCTCGGATTTGTTTTTCCGATATTGCGCGCGAACTAATGAACACGGGGAAGAAGTTATGTCAACCCTCCGAATGTCGAGTGGGCGACATTCTGAGAAGTGCTTATTTCTCGGAAGCAGCTGTTTAAAAATCATTAGAGATAAAATAAGATAAAAATACCACGAAATTCCTGGTTCTCAGAGCCAAACTTGGCTCGTAAGAATCAAAAACTCCGTGTCTTTCAACCAAAACGGTTCGTTCGTTAAGGCCAAACTTCGATACAATTTCTTTCTCTCCGAGGCGACGTGAGCGAATACGAAGCAGGATTAAAGTACCCGTGCTCGGACACGCATCTGATCCTGAACATTCTTTTGATCTTCAAGTCGAATACTCAAATTTTCAGCGTGAAATACGTACATATACTGCTAAATACATATCTACGTTCTGTGTTGAAAACTCAGATGTTTGCATTTAAACTGAAGCAATAAGAATGTCCAGAATTAGTGGGTGCGTGTCCGAAAATTGGTACTCTCGTCTCGCGAATCTCGAGGACAGTCCGCGCCAAGCCGAAACTCGCATCGTCGCCGATCACCGGCGACGTCAGCCGGTCCGATGTCCGACGGCAAGATCTGAGATCGCGCGTGAACTTGTGCCGTGAGCGCGAGAATCTCGAGCTCGCGAAATCTCATTTGCCTTTGAGATTTTATTGCATCCTTGTCGCGAGACGCCGAGTTATCATTCCATCATACACAATGGCCCGCGATTATTCGTACAACCGAGCAATATTACGCAAATCAGAGCCAGCGTTCAACGTTCAAGTGAGCGCGGGCTGCCGCCGCCGCTGCTGTCTCCTCATTGCTGCTTTCCGCCTCACTCCATTAGCAAAAATTAATTGACGGCGGTCGCCAAAATCAAGCGCTCGCGGCGAAACAAGAGGCGACCGACAGACATACTTGGTGTATCGCGGAAGGTTGAAAGACCGTCCGTCCGACGTTCTCGTCATACACGCCGTTGATGAGAAAACGCGCGGTAAGAAGTATTCCTCAAATATTTTTGCACATCCAGACACTCTTATTCTCTCTCTCTCTCTCTCTCTCTCTCTCTCTCTCTCTCTCTCTCT